TCCATGTTTTTTCAAAAAAGTTGGGACATTGTAGGGGCATATCTTGTCGCAGCTGTACAAGAGTTTTTCAGAAATAGGCGCCTTCTTAGGCAATGGAATCATACATCGCTAATAATGGTTTGCAAGTCCAGCCATGCATCCCTAGTATCCGACTATAGACCAATTGCTTGGTGCAACACAATTTATAAAATCTGCTCAAAGATCATAGCTCAGCGCTTGAGCACTGTTCTTGTACTATCATTGATGGGGCACAGGCAGCATTTGTGAAGGGGCGGAATATGACAAACAATATCCATCTTATGCAACAGCTTCTTCGGCAATATATGCAAAAGCGGATATCCTCTCGATGCCTGATCAAAATTGATCTTAGAAAGGCCTTTGACTCTATATCTTGGGATTTTCTAAGACAAGTTCTCTGTGGTCTTGACTTCCCAACGACTTTTATTGAATGGGTCATAGAGTGCGTCACCTCTACATCATACTCCATCTTGATTAATGGGTCGCTTTGCGGTCATTTCAGAGGAGCTAAAGGGCTCCGACAAGGTGATTCGCTTTCACCATACCTCTTTGTCATTTGCCTTGAATATCATTCTAGGCTACTTAACAGGAACACGACACAAAGAACAAAATTCCTTAATTTGGATAAGCGAAGATCAACGACTGGATATTTGTTCACTTTTGCAAAAGCTCCAGTCAGTTAGAAGTCCTCCTACCAGAACTTGGACGGCATCATCATGTGTGGTAAACCTAATTTGGAAATAACCGTTCTCTAGGTCGATCATATCGCAACCATTCATAAAAGGCCACAAGTGCACCACCATGTTGTACAGCAGCGGAGGAGACAAAACTGTACCCATCACCTTCACCACCACGACATTCCTCCAGGAGTTCAGTAATGTCTCGTAAAAGCTGTCCTTCAACTTGATGTCCGGCACCAGCCCATGGCGATCAACAATAACATCATCGTCCATTTCATCCACGGGCTCGTCGTCCGAGATAAGATCAATGTGATGTCGGTGATTGGTAAGCATATCACGGAAACTCGACCCTACGGGGGGCGCCATAGACGCTGGCACACCAGGGCTAGTCAAATCATCACTCCCGTCAAGGGCGTTTTGCAAACAAGATCGCTTCAAAGAACGGGAGTTCTCCACCGGCGAAGAAGTAGCCTTCTGTAGGCCAGGAAAATCAGAACCATGTCGGTCAGGAGGATCGGCTTGGGGCCTCGGGATTAAAAGTGAGTATCGCCAAAACCCAGATCTTTTTCTCACCTAATGTTCCTGACGTGAACCGGTCCTTAATCGCTCAACATTTGGGATTCCAAGTGGTAGATAATCTTTGGAAGTATTTGGGAATGCCTGTAATCCATAGTAGGGTGAATAAATCTACATATGTTGATATTTTGGAAAAAGCAGAGACAAGGCTAGCGGGTTGGAAAGCTTCGACTCTGTCCATGGCAGGAAGGGTGATCATTGCTCAGTCTACGTTGAGCTCTTTGCCGTATGTTTCCATGCAAACTACTTCCTTATCGTATGGGGTGTATGATAGCTTGGAGCGGAAGTGTCGGAACTTTATTTGGGGTGGCACGGACTCTTCTCGAAAAATAAGCCTCGTGTCCTGGTCAGAGGATTGCAGGCCAAAGTCGGATGGCGGTTTGGGGATGAAGGACCAACGGCTCATGAACCGAGCCCTTCTGATGAAATTGGCCTGGTGCTTTCTTAACGACTCGTCCTCGCT